CTAATACAATCCGCTATCCGCTATCCGCTGATCGCCAAACAAGGCCATTGTTAAGTGTGAATTACGTATCAGTTTTCATGGAATTAGACAACAACTTAAATATTAACAATACACTCACTTTATTCATTTTATAATAATTAATGTGACATGTCATTTAAAGCAACATGGCCGGACAAATGAGATAAAAAGATGAAAAAATATATATAGGAAAAAAAAAATAAAAAATTAACTTTGAGTTTCTAAAATATGAGATTAAAAAAAATGTAAACACTGAAGTTGATGTGATATATATAGCATCATAATGTTAATCAGTATTATTAATAGTTGGAATTAATTATGTGAGGAAATAGATAATGTTGATGCGATAAAAATATTCAATAATATGACTTTCGATATTTCAATTATGTTAGTGGAATTGTATAAAAAAAAGAAATAAATAAATAGTAACCGAGATGAAATATTTTTGTTTTATTTTTCTTTTCAATGAATAAAGCTAAGTAATAGTAATAACTGTAAAACTACTGTTAGCCAAACTTAGCGGTCAAGATAGTCATATTGGCCATGCCCGAAGTCCTTACCTTAACCGGTCAGCATTTGAACTCGTTGGCTAAGCCCTTGAAGCTTCGTACCTGACGGCAAGTCAATTACATCGATTTCTAAATAGTAACCGAGATTAAATATTTTTATTTTATTTTTCTTTTCAATGAGTAAATCTAAGTAATAGTAATAACTGTAAAACTACTGTCAGACAAACTTAACTGTCAGACAGTCATACATTTTCAACAAATTTATGCATATCTTCGATAGAAAATGTGGTCTTTAATTAAAAAAACAATATAAAGAATATGATGAATCGAGCTGTCTAATGGTTAGAAGCTACGTTATTATTAGATGAAGAGAACATGTTTGATTGCTAACTTGAAGTAGCCATTTGGAATTATGGTCAACCACATAAATTGGAGTCCCAATCTTTAATGGTGGCTTGATTCTATTGGCCACACAATCCACCTCACCATGACACCCCTGTATTTATATATTACCCACAAATTAATCAGCAAATTTACATACTAACATACATAAATTCACAACACAATTTAACATAGATAAATATATATATATATAGCAAGAATTTTTGCTTGCTACTATTTTATAATTTTTATTTAATTTTTGTTTGAAAATAATTACATTGTAAACTTGGTAGAAAATGTTAGAAGGGAAGGCCGTTGTGGGAGAGTCTGATATGCTGCAAACTATGCAGCAAGATGCCCTTAATTTGGCAGCCAAAGCTCTTGATTTCTTTGATGTTACTGACTCAACTGATATAGCCCGGTTCATAAAGAAGGTATCTTCGTTATTTTATTTTATTTTCTTGAGTTTTATTGTCGATATATCGATCTTTTATTTCAATATTGAACATTATGTTTCACATTTTTGTTGTAGATTTACATGATGATGAGTACATAAAAAATTGCATTTTCATACCATCAATATAAAAGTTGAGGCAAAAATTTGTATATTTTGTAGTTTGTATTCATTTTTAAAATGTCTAAAGATACTCATTTGATATTTAATAACATATATAAAATTCAAGTATTAATAATTCATTTGAGATTTAAAAACTTAATTTAAAAATTTACGAGATGTGCAATTTATTTAGGTCAATGCTATATGTACACCCCCTTTTAATAAATTACACAAAGAAAAGTGCTATATGTACACCCCTTTTTTACACTTGAGGGGGTGTACATATAGACACCCCCTTTATTTATTATTAATATATAATTAAATTGAATTTATATGTACAAAAATTGCCCCTATGGACTTTAGATTCTTTTTTTTTTCAGTATAATCGAAAACAATTACAAAACTCTCTGAATTAAATCTCGATATTATATTACTAAATATCATACTTTTTTATATATTTTCTTTTATAGTATATCATTTGTGTCCAAAATTATGCATATCATTAAAACTTCTATTTGTGGACTGTAATTGTAGGAATTTGATAGGGTCCACGGGTCGGGTTGGCAATGCATTGTGGGTACGGATTTCGGGTCATTTGTGACCCATTGCTGTGGTTGTTTCATCCATTTTTGTGTGGGAAGCCTAGCAATTTTGCTGTTCAAAGGGTCAACGGGTCAAGACGAGGACTCATGTTGACCAATTTCAGGCCATCAATTCAGCTTAGCTTAATTTCATAATGGAATATATTTTGTCCCTGTCACGTTTGTACTTTTGATTTGTTCTATTAACTATATGAAAAGCACAATTGGGAGAATATTGGTGAGTAATTACAAATGTGAAATGAATCGAGTTGTTTATAGACTCAACTTAACTCGTTAAGGCTTGTATTCGGCTCAATTAGTCAACGAGTCAAACTTGAATCGACTTGTTAGGTTTGAGAAATAAGATTTTTTTCTTATATAATTTTTATAATTATTATATGTTCATTAATTTGATAAATGAGCGAAACTCGAGCTCCATTATAGCGTTCGGCTCGATAAAGACTTCAGTTCGAGTTCGACTCGACCCATTTACTGAAACACATCATCAATTTTCAATATATATATATATATATATATATATATATAT